TGCCAAACAGCTTTGTTAGTTTTCAGAGCAAAAATACAAAATAAAATCAACATTTGTACACCTCCTCAAATAATATTCACATTTATTCCAAATAACCTGCTTATCAATGACTCAACAAAGCAAGTACAACTACACAAATGCGTTATGCCCCCTCTCATTTCGTCGTTACTGGGAAAAACCCCACCTGAAAACTTTGAAAATTAATTTATAATGGAAGGAAGCGTTATAATTTTCAGAAATTTTTGATAAATATTAAGGACACGTGTAATTACCTTTCTGTCAAGTTTCACATCGATCACTGATCGACAAGTGGGTTGATGCGAACCTGCAACAGTTTTCGATGATTCAATGAAGGCTGCCATTTTCAATCACCGTTCTTTTACTCCAAATATAAGATTCCTGATGGATATATCAAATGGTGACGTATGGTCTGCCAAGGGAGGTTATTGGTCTCTAATGACATGAATATGGGATTGTTCAAGCAATGGTTAAATATGAATAATCATCGTACCGTTGCTAAAGGAAAATGGTAGGAGATTTGAATGATGTCATTTGCTTGATTATGTCCAACAAACGTAGGTCAAGGGCTCTAATTTCTGTTGACTTGTTAATGTCTGGTGACCTCGTCCTAGCTGTAAATGGGTATGGCTAATCTGGGAAAGATCAATGACTTTGTTTGTTTGGTAGAAAGGATCTTCATGTATTTGAGTTTTTATCTTTGTGTCTTCCTTTCTTTATTTTTAGTCTTTTATATATCTTTTTCATCTCTCTGTGAATTTGAATAAGTGTATATAAGTTGCAATAAATGGCTGCTTCTTATATTTTTCTTTCCTGATGAAAATTCAAATTGATAATTAGCTTTGTAGAAAATAAAGAACATATCATAAGAAAGGTGTGTATACCCAGTCATATATGAAAATTAATTCATAGTCAAAACATTTTTATTGATTTTTACTATCTAAATCAGCCAGTAGGCCTACATTTAATCCTATTACACTTTGCCAGTCCTTAATTTTAATACCCATTACTCATGCATACCAACCCAGATTAGTTCTTAAATTTCACAGAGAAATAAACTCTCTGGAATACTGAACGTTATCCAACATAGGCTTCTCTTGACGGAAACATTCTGACTTTACTATATATAACTTTGTCTGCTTAGTGCTTGTGTCAGCTGAAAACAAATAACATTGTTGTGTTGAAGACTTTCATTTGCCACATATGATGGCAAAGGTAAACATGATTTTATATTCCTTTATCACATGGATCTCATGAATCAAACACCATATTACGATGTGGTGGTTGATGAAAAAAAAATGTCACAAACCTTATGAATCCGATACCTTACCAACAGTGTTCCATATACTAACATTTGTCCTTGGACCACCATTTTTGAATAGTTATAATTTTACAGATTTAAAAAAGAAATTAACTGACTTGTTGATTATTAAAGAAATGAAATAAAATAATAAAACAGTTGCCGACAGAGAGATAATGAAATAGTCCTCTTGTGTATTAATCTAACCAATTCTAGCCATTTCTTTATGAATATATTTTATATTTCTCTCTTGCCATTTTCTTATTTTGTATATCATTCTGTAGTTAACAGTATTTTTTGGAATTAATTGATATTTTCATGGTAATTTCCTAAGAGGAATATAGTTTTATTTTCACATATCTATAGAACAGATAGAAATTACCTATTACTTTTCAAAGTAAAATTTTAACTTTGTTTACATTGAGATATCAGAAAAGGTTTGGAGACCTTTATTATCATCCTGTTTGGTTTCTAAGGACCAATTCACCCTGACTAAGAAGTGTCCTTTTAATTTTATCAAAAAATATGATATAAAGAAAGATAAGCTTTTCATCCTATTCTTCTGCTCAAGATTGCTTAATGTTGATGAGATGCAATTATTGTAGAATATCAAGCTGTCAAGAAATCATCCACTTTTTCACTCTGTGTGCTATGAAATGAATCATGGAAATTTTTTTCTGATGAACAGATTGTACTATCTTGACATATGCCATGCATGGAGTCTTGATTTATTGAGCCTACGCAGCGCCTACACACTTGTTGATGATCTAAATTATGTATTGATTTAAGAATGTATATTAGGTTACTGTGAACAGGTGTGAAAAATATCAATGGTAAGGTAAGAAGATAGGTTAATCTGGTAATGCTCTCACAGACCATCAGCGGTTAATCTGGTGATAATGTTCTCATAGACCATCAGCGGCTAATCTGGGGATTGTTCTCTCAGATCATCATTAATGTTAATGATACTGTTAATCATCAGTGGTTAAACTGGTAAAAATGTCCTCATACACCATCAGCGGTTAATCTGGTGGTCATAATGTTCTCATAGATCATTAGGGGTTAAATTGGTAAAAATTTTCTCTCAGATTATCAGGGGTTAATCTGGTAAAAATGTTCTCATACACCATCAGCGGTTAATCTGGTGGTCATAATGTTCTCATAGATCATTAGGGGTTAAATTGGTAAAAATGTTCTCTCAGATCATCAGCGGTTAATTTGGAAGTAATGTTCTCATAGATCATCAGGGGTTAATCTGGTAAAAATGTTCTCATACACCATCCGCGGTTAATCTGGCAGTAATGTTCTCATAGATCTAGTCCATCAGGGGTTTATGTCATTCTAGAATTTTGAAATGTAGACATAAATTTGTAAATTGAAAAATTGATATGTTTTAAAATAAATGAGAAAAGAAGTCATGTCTGTCGTCATAGATTCTACAAGAAATAGACATTCATGATATTTTGACTTTGAGGGGGCTGAAAATTGAAAATGTTCAGTTGACATGCATGTAGAGATTAATGAAGCTCAGTTTCCATATAGTCTAGAATGAAGATATTAAAGAACTTATTCAATGATATTTCCAGGCAATAAAAGCTATATAATCAATATTTGATAGAAGTATATTTAGAAGATATTTATTATAAATTGATTAAAGTTTATATATTTAGATTTATGATATCATTAAATCAATCAAGCCAGATATTATTTTCATATTTTATATTGATTAATTTATCAAACAACCAAGAAGGTGAGAGTTTTAGTCCTAAAAAAGGTTGAAAGTATCAAAGGAAGAGGAATAGCTAAACTAGTCTGGCATTCCATCAAAAGCTTTGCTCTGAAGGAACAGGTTGAAGCTTTTGACTTCATAGCATTGGTTGGACAAAATTCATGTCATGCACTATAATAACATCATTGGAGTTCCCAGTTTTTAACGCCAAATAGACTATAAAATTCTGATTGTGATATTAAGGCTGTACCTGTGGTAAGCTGTTGCAGCTGTCAGGTCTCTTATACAAAAGATATCATCAACATCTAAAACTGCTTCATCAGTCTATGCTCTAAAAAGAGCAGCTTGAACTATCTTCTTTTGGCATATCTACTAGGGCTCTTAAAAGAAGAATTGACAGGTTTTTCTTGTAAAGCTACTCTACTAGCTATCAGATAGATGATATTTGTTTGTTGTATTTTTTATTGGCAAGTTATTGGCAGGTTTCACTGATAAATATTACCTACATGGTTATTTACTCTTGATTAACCTACTAAGGTTAATGAACTAAACAGTTGGAAGTAAATTATGTATCATTTCATTACTCTCAAACTGTGACAAATCTCAATAAGGGCCGTTGATATAATTTATTTGCCAATTAAATAGTTGACTGATGCTGAAATTTTGCATTATCATAAACCTTAACTGAGATACTAGCGCAAAATACCCATATTGCCTTTAAAGGAATTGTAAAGAGGTTTTCTAAATCTTTATGTGTATTGGGGACACTGATTGCATCAATTTGCACCATTCCAATTTTCAATCAGACATCTGTGGTTCGTGCTACCGCAAGAGCTGCTTTTGATTTATAATGACCTTTGCAATATTGACATCAGACGATTGGTATGGTGCAAATTGGTGCTATCAGTGTCCCCGATAAACATATAATTTCTAGACAAAATCTTAACAATCCCTTTAAGAAGTTTGATGCCTTGTAAGATGGCATCTGGTCAGAGTCAATTTATTGTTTGATAGTTAAGTGATGGTTGAACTCAGATAATCTAATGTTATTGATTAACTGTTTAGTGGTAGACTCAATTATCAAGGTATCATAGATGATAATAATTGATCTTGTCTGGTTGATGTTTCTTATATCCTTCGGAACCAAGTTGTTGATAAAAAAGGGAACTTGATAATTTTGTCTTTTAAGGTAGCAAACTTATTTCATCTTATCAACTGCAGATATTCGGTTTATGAACTTTTACTTCACTTCTGGATCTGGTAGGCAAGGGAGGTAGTCTGAATGACGTTTTTGACCAAATTATTTCATTAAGTTGTGGACTTGAATATTAAGTTATAACAAATCATAAATATTGTCTAGACATTGTGTTTGTATGATTTTTAAGATCTTGTAGTTTAGACTTGATTAATTGCAGAGATGATTCTTCCACACCAACAGTGAAATGAAATGACTTTTCAACTTTTGTTTATTTTCTGAATTACTACTTTTCTCTCTGACCATCCAAAATTAAAAACCAATGCTAAAGGTCATGTTTCAATATATAAGTTTATTCAAGTATTTGAAGAGAAATTGAAATTTCATTGACTTGTATCTATGACACATTTTTACAGAGTTTTTTTTTATGGTTAGCATGGAATGTTGCCAACTTTAGATGATGTTGAGTCAAAATTCCACAGAGCATGAAGAAACCAGTCAGATCATGGATGGCAAGTTATAACCTGCAGAAAGAACATGAAGCGTAACATCCAGATCTGCAATTTTATTAGATTGTTTTTAGAGCTACAGCTTATTGTAAGCTATTGTATAAATTGATATCTTTATCTATTTCAGATAGATCATCATAGAGTGTATTATACCGGTCAGAACTAAACAGTCAGCCTACAGTAGCAGAGCTAATTATGTTGAGATTGGAATTGACAAGGACTAGTGGGTCATTCTAAAACACCATCATGGATAGATGGGTGTGTCCCAACGACAGACAGCTTGCTCTGAGAGCAAAGTAAGTTATCATATTCTTTCTTTCTTACCTGGTCAAGAACTATATGGTCACAGCCTATATAGATCTTCTTGAAAAAGCAATAGAGTATGTAAATAATAGTCATGAAGCTTATATTGAGACTGTATACTTCAGGGACACTTGCAGCTTCTATTAGCAGTATTTTTCCCAAACTATTATCAGAAATTCCTATTATAAATGCCATATACTTGACTGGACATAAAATTTGGTTCATTACTGCCACTTGGATTATAATTTGCGCTACCTTACACTGTTTGGTTTACAACGAAATTTATATTGTATTTTTTCATGCTGTTTCAACTGTGTTGGTATCTAAGAGGCTGCTCATGAAAGTACAGATCAGCACTTGTTTCAAAAATCTTATCAATGTTCAGCAAAAATAGCACAGTAGAAATCAAATTTATTTTTTAACCAGATTCTATATTAATTTAGATATATTTTCAAATGTGTTTATAAGTATGTTACTTAGTAGTATTAATATCATAAAGAAGTTTAAAAGATATCATATTTTATTCAATAGATAGGTAAATAATCAATGAGGGTAGAACTAGGCGTAGAGCAATATGATATATTGATTACTGAGTAACTTGTTTATTTTAACATCTGTCACCCAGATATTGAGAGATTTATCATGTTATAAAAGATAGACTACTTCCTCCTCTATAGGATGCTTTATTTATCTATGTAATAGCCTGATAAATCTCGCCCTAGCTGTTCCTCCAACGTAAAAAACTATTGGGATATTGGCACGTTTACAAAGCTGATCTAATAAGAGTCCATAAAGACAAGAAATTCTGCAAGATCGTGGTTATTCACACTGAGAAACTAGGAATAACAAGCAGTAAACAACATATGGCCATACTTAATTGCATTCATGACATCCATGCTTCAAGAAAAAAATAATACCCATGGGCTGCTAACAACGGTACAGAGAGGTGGAAAACAAAGACAATTTGCACTGTGATGGTGGGAAAAGACAGTGTGATTCTACAGAGTATGTTACTTGTCAAATTTTATCTAGGATAGATGATGTCAATTACACAGTTGTCAACTATCTGGTATTAATATTTCACTGAAATTGTCATGACTTTTTGTTTTAATCAGGGAATAACATAGCTAGATATCAATCAATTATATTCTCAAGAGACTAAACTCTATAATTTATCAATACTCATTCTATACATTTAATTAATAAATCCATTTCTCTTCACATACTTTCACATTAATGTACTGATACCTTACAAAGTACATAGAAAGGTATTTGCTATAGTGTCGTCATAATCTGGTTAGATTTTCCTGACAAAGCATGCACCACAAACTTTTAAGAAGAATCAGAATGGTGAAATTCAAAGCTTGCCATATAAAAATACAAAGGATGGAAAACATGTTAACTGAAGGCACAGATAAGCACAGTTTTAAGTCACTGTTTTTTATAAGAAACTTTTACTTTAAAGTTTCAGAAATGTGCTCAGTTGAACTGTCTCAATACACTGTAGAAGTACAATAAGCTTTTTTTAAACAAAGTATATCATGTTAGAAAAGTGTTTCTCTTTTTTTAGTAGCCCAAAAGATTATCACATATCACAAATACAAATCTTATATCAAAAGATTGCATATCACAAATACAAATCTTATATCAAAAGATTGCATATTACAAATACAAATCTTATATCAAAAGATTGCATATCACAAATACAAATCTTATATCAAAAGATTGCATATTACAAATACAAATCTTATGTCAAAAGATTGCATATCACAAATTATACAAATCTTATATCAAAAGATTGCATATCACAAATACAAATCTTATATCAAAAGATTGCATATCACAAATTATACAAATCTTATATCAAAAGATTGCAGAAATTTAGAATATACTGTATCTCTTATCAATTTCATTCATTGTTATTTTTCAGGCTAGGGACAGGATGGTCTGTACATACCAACAGACTGTCATCATTTCAGAAAGCTAAACAGCTAAATTTAGATGAACAGGAACAGATCATGAGGGTGATGCAGAGAGCAGAATATTTAGATGATTCAGAACAAGAAAGAATTGGGTAATAATATCATTTTGTCTGTAAATTGGCCAAGTTGGACCAAGTTTTCATCACTTCATGATATAATCAGCTTTGAGGATTAAGGTGCAGACTGTAATTCTTTTCATTTCTGAAATTTAATTTGATAATTTCAACATGTTGTCTAGAGCGAAACATCTGTCTGTATTCCAGCCAGGACAGATATCAGCAGGTGTAGAGACAGAAAAAATAGGCCCTGTTAAATGGGGACATTCTGTATCTCCATGAGCACTTTCTTCCTCACGAAATTTACTTAACTGTACTTAAGTGCATGTTATGGTTGTGTACGTATCTGCTATCACCGTATTGAAGTACAATTTGAAAGTCAAATTCTGTAGCATTGTATTTATAAAATGAGGTTATTTCAGGCGTTTGGTAGAAAAATTAGAGAATATGAAGAAGAACAGTATAGGAAATGGAACAACACAGTGTGTATTATGTGGGGATGAGTTTGGATTATTAGGTTCTTCACCTACCTTCTGTGATGATTGTAAAAAGGTGAGCATACATTATACTAGCTTGTCAACCCTGGTCACACCCAGTTCCTCAGACTTGATAAACAGATGCGATAGTGTCATTGGGTAGGGCCAGACTTAATTTTTCAATTAAGTTCATTCTTTCATGCCACTGGGTGGATACATTTAAAACTCTAGTCTGGAAAATGGAAAAGCTGGTTTTCTTGACATTAATACATTTTCCTTTAACATATAAAGTAATGATATTTTCAGCATATTAACACCAGTTTGTCATGTCTCTAAATGCAGTCAATTGACAGGAAAAGTTTACTCTTACTATCATTCACTTCAATCTTGAATGACATGGCATAACTATTGATATGTTTAATGCATTGATTTCTTAGGACTTGCCTATCGACATAAGGATTGCGATTTGAATAGACACATGTTTATTTTGATCTCTTTGCGATCTGACAGAATGTATGAAATATTTCCAGGCTGTATGTTCTAAATGTGGAGTAGATACTGTGAACAGTATGAGACAACCATTGTGGTTGTGTAAAATCTGTAGTGAACAGAGAGAGGTAAGACCTATTTAATTTCATTGAGAATTGTTTTCAGTCTTTTTAGGTATTGATAAAAACTCATCTACAGCTGCTGATAAATGTTTAAGAAATAAATTCTTCAACAGAACCTGTAGTTTAATCTTATCAGATTTGAGTTCTCAGGCTGCATTTTAAACCAATATTGAATAAACATAGCTACTAGAGGTTTGAGAGAAATGTTTAAGTTTCTAGAGGTGATAACAAACAATGCCTAAATACTGATTTGATATTACAAAGCTATTATTGACTAATCAAATTATTAGTTTGTTTGATATTCCATATCATATCGTCACAATATAAACTTACTGACCTTGAGGCTCTAGAAATCACTCTATTAACATTCCAGTTTCTGGAAGCTAAATCAATGTGTACAATTTTCTCTATATGTGTATAGGTTTTCTTAATATTAGATTTCTGTTCAGTTCTTGCTGCTAGGACTGATAAATTTGTTTTATACCTGACATCAACCATATATTCCACATCATAAAACAAAGTTTTTTCTTTTCTTTTCTTTGATATGTTGGTATCTGATACTACATGTGACTTACATTTGATTATACACAATGATAAATACATATAGGCACACAAACTAAAAAAATAATTGTTGAGTGATGGTCCTGAGTGAGTAGGCTATGTATATTGTGTATATGGTTTCAAGTAGTGATCAGGATGTAAAAGTAAGTTCGACTGACAGAATTAGAGAGCAAATGGCTGTTTAATGACTTCTAGCAACTTTTGGCATCTGAGGGAATTTGATAGATTGCCCTATTCAGTCTTTTTAGAGCTCAGTACCTCAGCACATGGACTACACCTGCTACAAGTTGCTATCAAGCCAAATCTGGATCTTGCTGTTGAACTTGAATATGCAGCAATTAAGTTGCTCACAGTTGTTTTAATCTGCCGATTTCTAAATATTAGCACATCATTTTTACCGTGACAAATTGTAAAACTGTGTAATTATTTCTAATTTAGAAATAATTATATTGGAATAAATTTATAAAATTGAAAACATGTTCTAGTGAAGGACATGAACATAGTCAAAAACAAGCAATCAATTGAAACAATGACTTTCTTACGATATTTTGGGACAAAGATCAACGTTTACAGCATTTTATTTATAGACTTTGATCTTTTATTCATAAGAAACATCAGATTAAGAGTTTATTTATAGCCATAGAGTCAATTATTCATTCAGTTCTAAAATAGCCTCTCTAAACTTGGACACATTGAAACTATTCTGGAACTCATTCGGGATTGATTTGTCTGGAACTCGAGTTAAACCTCTATACAGTTGTCTGATTTATGTAATTTGGAATATTTTTGATATTCTAAAAGATTAGTTTCTGTTAAATTTAAATGGCTTTGTTTGTTTTTAATTGGAAAAGATGTTTCAGATAATATTGGCTCAAAATGTTGTCCTTTGGTGATTTAAAGGATTAAGTTTTAGATTCAAGATTTTTCTCGTTCCAAATACCTTTAAATGAAAAGTACTCAAGGAATTCCTATCATTGGCACCCTTATCAGTGATGTGTGACTTAAGAGAAAAAAATGTCCGTCATGGATGAAATAGTTGTTTTTCTGATAGATGTCCTAATTCAATCAAAACTGCTGCTGGGTGTATATTACTTATATACATCTTGACCAAGTATATCATAGTCTCAGATCTGCAAACTTTCAAACAATCACCCCCTTTCACAGCCAGAAATAGTAATTTATCCACCTCTTACAATTATATTGCTGTGCCTCCCATCTCGATCAGCTAATGTTTAAAGGGTAGAAGTTTAAAGGTAGATTGAAATTTGATAGAGAATAATAATGATGACAATATCTTTTCTGATTGTCTTTAATGATGTTAGTCAGTGTTAAAGGTCTTTAATACACAGATTGATTTATGATACAAAATCATTGCAATTGATCTCTGAAAGAAATCTCAATTGGATAAACACAAGAATTATGTGCTTTTTTAAATCCCTTGACAGCTTGAAATAGAAGAAGAGTAGACAATTTCTGCTTTCTGTTGCTTCAGACATTGCTTTAAAACCCCCCAGACATTGCTTTAAAACACCTCAGACATTGATTTAAAACCCCTCAGACATTGCTCTAAAACCCTCAGACATTGCTATAAAACCACGCAGACATTGATTTAAAACCCCCAGACATTGATTTAAAACCCCCCAGATATTGCTTTGAAACCCCTCAGACATTGCTTTAAAACCCCTCAGACATTGCTCTAAAACCCCTCAGACATTGATTTAACACCCCTCATACATTGCTTTAAAACCCCTCAAACATTGCTTTAAAGCCCTTCAGACATTGCTTTTAACACCTCAGACATTGCTTTAAAACCCCCAGACATTGATTTAACACCCCTCATACATTGCTTTAAAACCCCTCAAACATTGCTTTAAAACCCCCAGACATTGATTTAAAACCCCTCAGACATTGATTTAAAGCCCCTCAGACATTGCTTTAAAACCCCTCAGACATTGATTTAAAACCCCTCAGACATTGCTCTAAAACCCCTCAGACATTGATTTAAAGCCCCTCAGACATTGCTCTCATTGATTTATCACCCCTCAAGTACATATATTCTGTTGTCCCCCAAAAAGTTCCTTATTGCCGAAATTCCATTTAAATGCATTAGATTTTTATGGTCTTGTATCATTAAGGTCTATTTATCCCCATGTAGCTTTCTTTCATAATGACTTTTGAGTTAATGCTCTTGACTTTATGTCCATAGATGTAGTTATCACTGAAATAATGGATATCAAATGTGATGCTGCAATTGAAATAGTGTAAATAGAAGCAGGCAAAAAGAAACAACAACTTTTAACAAGAATAACAGCTTTAAATCTACCTGCTGTTCCTTGGCCAAACTTCCTCGTTTCCTTGATCTCCCCAGGATTAAATGTACCCATTGAAATAATGAGGAAAGATGACCTACAACCACCATTTATTCAATGTAACCATGCAAATGATGTCATATTATGATTCCAACACTCTAGCCAACTATGCTACAGCTTTTCCTTAAAAATTTTAATTGTCCCCAACACACTGCTAAAGTTTACCTCTTTTGAGTCACTTTAAAGACATTGATCAGAAATAAGATAAACCTACTTGTAGTAGCTACCTGATAATGCCCATCTTAAAACTGTTACTCTTTCAAGAAATATGTTATTATCAACAATATACTACATCAAGTATACATGATAGCTGACTATCAAAGAGTTAAGTCTGTTGAGAAATGGTAGAATTGATTGAATGAGCTATAATCTGATTGAGACTATCTGATTGTATTGGTATAGAAACTGGCCGGCTAGAGTTGGAATAATTGATTTACTAGTATCACTATATCAGAGCTATCAACACCTAAATCACTAAGGATGACATCATATATATTAAGTAAAGAATTGTTAAACTGATCTACAAAATGTGATGAACAACTTGGTACCTTACTGCCTTGTTTTGCATGTTCCTTGTTAATATATGTAAGCAGTAAGATAAAGCATTTAAGCATTTATAAATTCTAGTTGCAATAATCTTTAGTCACTGAACAAAGAAATTATAATAATCAGGAATAAAGAGATTGACTCCCCTGTCTTATCTTTTAATTTAAGGTGCAGCACCCAAACAGTCTTGGTTGGCGATTTTTGACACCGATTAGAGTCTTCTTCTATTGGCTGCAGGCACGGAAGGAGACAAAATTCGTTTGATTTCCACTATGTTGAAATCATGTGTGGATCATGCAATTGAAAAAAAAAAAGAATCTGTTTGTTGTTGCAGACGATAATCAGACAATAAATCTTGATGGGAATGCAATCCCATCGTGAAAGCATGGGCACATGCAAGATTTTACTCAAGATTCGAATCTGCGACAAAGATGGCCAACTAAGAGCATTCGTGTGCCTGCACCTTTAAATAAAAAAAGTCTTCTCTTGATGAAAATTTATCAGTACGGAACAAATTAATAAAAAAAAATTCATCCTAATCTTTAATTTTAAAGAATCTGTATTTGCTTTGACATCAGAGCTCCAATTCAACAATCCAAACACTTTCAAAATAATCTGACACCCAGTTCGCGTGCAATACAACAAAAAGGTTTAGAGTATGCTGAATTATAAACTGGTATTGATAGCTGGAAATTGAGCTCTATCAGCCGGTAAAGAAAATACCTTGCTGTGTCCCTTTAATTTCACTATTGTTTGCTTTTAGATTATAAGCTACTGTTTATTTTAATCTATTAACTGTTCTCCTAATGCCTTGATATTATCAGGAGAAAATTACCTCTAAAAGCAGTGATTGATGCTACCAGCTTCAATTTCATTCCATTTGATTTAAGCTATTAAGAAAATGACATCTTCTGCCGTCAACTGGCACGAAACTGCTATAAAACTTGTCTTTTTTAATTTTTTGTAGGTTGATACGATAATTCAGTATCAATTTTTATGCAAACTATTCTAGTTTTCTAATTTCTTATTTTACTGTTGATTTAAATCATGCAATGAGCCCATCAATATATTAACACTTAGTGCAAGTTCTTGGACACAAGACTTCCTGAAACTGATACATATCATCAAGAACAGGCATTTCAAATTTATGATTATAGCGAGACCTAATATGTTTTAAGTCTTCTTGAACTCTGAGGGTGACTGAAAGCTGGTCATCCTTATTACTTGAAATGTCAATTTTCATCAATATTCTTAGATCCTGGATGTATTTCCTGAAATAAACAGTTACAGTTTAGTAACTCTGGTATTTTTAACCGTAAGAGATAAAAGTTTTCTTCTGCCCCAATGTTTCAGCCCACTATAAAGTATGGTTCCAAATACTTGAACAGATCGTTAATGGGGGTTGCAGGAATTGGTATTTGATTGAATTGTGTTCAACATTGTGTTCACATGTCAAGATTTAGAGCCAGCTATCTTCAAACTTAAGAAGAAAAAGGACTATTAATAAAATTAATAAAATGAAATCAATAG